CCCACTGGATAATGAATGCCATACTAAAGTAGCGGCGTCGCTGGGGATGAGGAGGAAGCCATCTTTGGGAGAGTCGCACGCTTGCGTGCAGTATGTCGGTTCCAGGAACGTGGACAGAGTTTTTCACTTGGAGCGAAACAATAACAGCACTTGAGCGATGCGCAAGGGTTGGTTGTTGGGCAGATCGACAGTGGAAGGGCAGTGAGGCGTGTGGTGTTGATGGGCGATCCACGCCAGCGTACGATGAATGCGTGATGACGACCTACCGATGCTGGCTTGCCAAGACACTTGTCGCAGGACCACAAGCCCCACTCTGGCCTGCCTTGAGCTTGATGACGCAGTTATCGATAACGCGCGCTCTCGATAGATGCTTAACAGATCCAAAATTTAGGACCAGGGGAAAGCGAATCGCGACTGGACGTGTCTCGACGCCAGACTCTGTGCGTGGGTGAAAGGGACCAATTCACAAGACAAACAACTGAAGTCTCGGAAATGAGGTGTCAGTCTCCCATCAGACCGCCATGAAGTCAGTCTTGCGAGCCGTTGCCACGCGTGCAACGTGCAGCAAACCTGCCTTTCGCCATGGCTTTGCGACCACCTGCCGAGCGCCATTCCGGGTGAGTCGTGATATGCGTTGGATATCTTCAACGATGGCTGCTGATTCGCGATAGGAGGCCGCTGTGTACAATAGGAAAGGCGGTGTCAGCGCCGCTGCGTCGAAGAACAAGAAACGATACGAAGTCTTCCGGTCCATGGTCATAACACAGTTCAACAATGTTCTTGATGAATTCGGCAACTGGTCCGAATCCAACCAAGAACTTCGAAGCTTCGGCGTGCGTAGTGAACATGGACTGGCAAACGAAGCTGCACTCTTTCGAAAGGCAATCAGCGATGCCATAGCGATGGCTACGAACGGTAACGTCGCCAGGACGACAAATCCTCTCTTCTGGTCGCTGCGGGATGCTTTCATCCGAGGAGACGTCAAGGGGTTAACGTCGGAGATTCGGTACTCCTTCCAAAGCTTCATGATGCGGAGCCGCATGTCGGCGGATGTGACGAAGAGACAGAAGCAGATGGCTGACTTCCGCTACCCCATGGAATGGTTCCCGGCAACAAGAGCGTTGCAGCGGACAATACATCTCCACGTGGGCCCGACAAACTCTGGCAAAACATACCATGCGCTCAAGGCGCTGGAAAACGCCAAGTCGGGTATATACGGCGGCCCCTTGCGTTTGTTGGCCCACGAGGTATACGCTCGCTTCACCGCCAAGGGAAAGCCATGTGCCATGGTCACTGGCGAAGAGCAGCGGATTCCTGAGGGTGTCGATAACTACTTCATCAGCTGCACGGTCGAGATGACGCCGCTGAACCGTCTGGTAGATGTAGCTGTGATCGACGAGATCCAAATGATAGGTGATCCGGAACGCGGTTGGGCCTGGACACAGGCTCTCCTCGGCGTCATGGCCAAGGAGGTCCACCTCTGCGGCGAAGAGCGAGCAGTGGACCTTGTCAAGTCAATTTGTTCCGCCCTCGGCGACAAATGTGTGGTGCACAGATACGAGAGGTTAAGTCCACTTCAAACCATGAAAAAGAGTCTCAAGGGAGATTTGTCGAAACTGGAGAAGGGTGACGCCGTCGTCGCTTTCAGCCGAGTTGGCCTGCACGGTCTGAAGAAAGCCATCGAAGAGAAGACTGGAAAACGTTGCGCCATTGTCTATGGCTCTCTACCCCCTGAAACAAGGGCCCAGCAAGCGGCGCTCTTTAACGACCCTGATAACGAGTACGACTTCCTAGTGGCAAGTGATGCTATTGGCATGGGCTTGAATTTGGAAGTAAAGCGGATCATCTTCGAAACAGCAGCCAAGTTTGATGGTGTTAACTTCCGTGGTCTGTCAACGTCGGAGATCAAGCAGATTGGCGGCCGCGCTGGCCGATTCAGGTCAGCCCGCCAAGCAGCGACATCTGCTGACGGCGCCGAGACCCTGGTCGAGAAAAAGAATCCAGGCCTAGTTACAACACTGGACGCTCTTGATCTTCCCCGAGTCCAGGAAGCATTCACGCAACAGGCCGAACCACTGGAGGCTGCTTACATCAACCCTCCGGCATTTATCTTAGAACGGTTCTCGGAGTACCTGCCCCCTGACACGCCATTATCGTTCATGCTGCTGCGCATCCGTGAGCTGGCCAGGGTGTCGCCGATGTTTCTGGTCGATATTTCGAGCGACGCTCTCCGCGTAGCCGATATCATCCAGGAGTTTCCCCTGACCATTCACGAGCGCCTCTCCATCCTCAACGCCCCCGTCCAGCTCAACGAACCTAGCGTTGTCCACCTGGTGCAGGCAGCCGCCAACTGTCTTGCCACGCGCCAGGGCGGTGCCCTCTACGACATGCAGGAAATTGACCTGGAAATCCTCGACGCGACGATCGCCGACTTTGACGGTGACGGCCGCCGCTACCTCCGCGCCATCGAGGTTCTCCACCACTCGGTCACGCTCTACCTCTGGCTGAGCTACCGCTTCCCCAACGTCTTCTCGAGCCAGGCGCTGGCGTTCCACGTCAAGGAACTCGTGCAGGCCAAGATTGAGCACCACCTGGACACGAATGTGTCGTTCCGAGCCGGGCAGCATGAGGCGATGCTTGCAAAGCGGGCGCAAGGAGATTGACAAGCGTGAGCGCGAACAGCAGCGCGTGTTTGGTGAGGGAAACGAAAAGGCCGCGATGGCTGGTGAGGAGGGGGCTGGGAAGTGGAATGAACCGGGACACGAGGAGCCGCTTGTGGAGGACAAAACAGAGTACGAGCAACTGGAAGAAGCTCGCCGCTAGATGCGAGGCGCTTCTGGCAAGAGTCCAGATTATGGGCCGAGTGTATAATAGTGTAAGATGCTTGGATGCACATTGGGATCATGTACAGCATAGATGGGCTTAGGCGCTTCGTTGATTAAGTAGGACCATCAGAAGCCATGTACAAAACATAACTTAAAGAAGAAACATTAACTCAAGGTAAAAGTCACTAAGCTAGCTAAAGACGAATTAAACACCGGGCGCCTTTATCAATTTTACCTTGAAATAGGTACCTTGCTGGCAGACAGGATGAGAGGCACCTTCAATAGGTGGGTACGTAGGTACCTTAACTAGTACCAGTGCCAGCCAGGCAAGGGTCAAGCATAACGTCACCGCTGCAGGGGCCAAGGCAGCTACCGACCTAGGTACCCCACCATCCAACACCGCGGGGCACCCCAACTTCAGAGCTACCTAAGCTTTCCCGCAACACCCTGCAACTCCAACACTTCGCATCAATCCATCGCGAACCTCTACCGCGTCACACCTCACAGCCGGAAAGACCTCTCACCACCGCGACGCATCCGCGATCAAACAGCCCAGCATGGCCACCCCGAACCCCGACCCGCCGTCGACAGCCCCGGCCTTCATCCCCCTCGAGGCGAACCCTCAACTCATGACCACCCTCCTCCACAAGCTCGGCCTCTCCTCCGCCCTCCAGATCCACGACGTCTACTCCCTCACAGACCCCGACCTCCTCGCCTTCATCCCCCGCCCCGCGCTCGCCCTGCTCCTCGTCTTCCCCGTCTCAGCAACCTACGAGTCCCACCGCCTCGCCGAGGACGCTCTGCTCGACGACTACAAGGGCCACGGCGACGGCGCCCCCGTCGTCTGGTTCCGCCAGACCATCCGCAACGCCTGCGGCCTCATGGGCCTCCTGCACGCCGTGGCCAACGGGCCGGCGCGGGACTACATCGGTCCGTCCTCCCGCCTGTTCCAGCCAGCCCAGCTTCTTCCCCTAACTCCCCCCCCCCCCCCCCGTTCGCCGCACCTGACGGATAGATTTCCGCTAACGCGCAGCAGAGGCCTCCTCCGACCTCGACACCCTCCTCCAGCAAGCCTTGCCCCTGCACCCCGCCGAGCGCGCCGCCCTGCTGGAGAAGAGCACGGCGCTCGCCAACGCGCACCGCAGCGCCGCGTCACAGGGCGACACGTCGGCGCCCGAGGCCACGGATGACGTCGACCTGCACTACGTCTGCTTTGTCAAGACGACGGACGGGGCGTTCTGGGAGCTCGACGGACGGAGAAAGGGCCCGTTGCAGCGGGGCCAACTCGAGGAGAGCGAAGATGTCTTGAGCACGAAGGCGCTGACGCTGGGCCCGCTCAAGTTCCTCGAGCGGGAGGGTGCTGATTTGCGGTTCAGTGCCGTTGCACTGGCGGGGGCTACTGACTAGGGGTTACAGAGGACCGAAAGTAGCGGGCGATGCATTGAATGAATAACGAGTGAGAATTCTATTAGGGCCAATAATACAGTCTATGGAATACCTGATAACAAGCAGCAGCGGTTGGCGTCTCAGCTGTAGTGGGATCTAGGAACCTGAAGCAAGCCATAATTGATACAGCACCCGCGCGGCCTCATCTTCTTCCTCATCTGCATTCTTGATGGGACCAGGTGTCGTGGTAGGCTCTTCAGTCTCGGTAGCCGGCCGAGTTGTCTCAACTGCTTCCTTAGACACGTGAGATTGATGAGACCCCTTCAATTGCCCCTGATCAAAGGACGCCGCATGGTGCGCAGATGAGCAAGACGATGGCGCAGATTCCGCAGCCGATGAGCAGACTCTCCGTGATGTCTTTGACCTTCTCCGATGAAGACAAGTTGACACGCCGCTCTTTTCGCTGGTTGTGGGCATCGCGGATTCGTTGCTTGAGGGGCGGCTGGTGCCTGTCTGGGAGCTTTGGGCTGTTATCCGCAACTGGATTGGGTACCGGGTTCGCGTCTGCGAGTTTTCTGTTGCGGACGGGGTTCTCAGAGGGCTTCTCGGCTGGAGCCGGGGCTGGGTTCGGCTGGGGGACGGGCTTCCGTTCATTGCTGTTCAGCTTGGCCTTGATATCGTGGGCCTGCTTGTTGACGTATGCGGCAGACTTGTCGAAGGACTTGCGCGTCGGGAGCCTTGTGCTGTTGATGCTTTCGCTGATGCTGTCTGGCCGGGCTTTCGAACCTGACAGGTTGGATCCCCCGTGCGGTTGAGGGTGTGCCTCTGGGACAACCTTCTCGGGCCAGGAGCTTGGGGGCTGGACACGTGGTGGCTGCTGGGACTTCAGAGACGCCGGGTCCGGAGGTGTGAGGTCAAAGGTCACTGTCGGTTTAGCCGTTGATTTTCCCTTGGGAGCATCGATCGAAACGTTGTGTAGAGATGGAGGAGGAGAGAGTGTGCACTCGAGAGCAAGTATATCCAGTTGACCTCTAGCTTGGTCTTCGTGGATGGATGCCGGCGGCGAGAGAGTGCACTCTGGTTGAGCCATGGAGAACACGGTGATGTCAAAAGCTGGTGGCCCACGAAGTAGATACTCGTATGGTGCGAGGGAGACGCTCAAGAGTTGGCGAAATTTAGGGACGATGGAATCAACAATGTGGACTGTCACGGCAAAACGCATCCGCAGCACGTGAACCTATGTACTTGTGTACGATGAAGCTGGCAGAAGGAAGCAACATGTGTGCCAGTCTTCGCCGGGGTCAGTGCCTGCCGATCTGGAGGACGTCAAAGCTGCCTCAGTATGGCTCCCGGGCTCGACCAAATGTGACTTCCAAAACAACCAAGAGCATGGCAACCCGCCACTCTCGATCATCTTACAAGAGCACATGGGAACATCAGAAGGAAAGAGGCAGGCGCACCCTCATGGAACCCTCAAAGTGACCAGGAGGACCTTCCCACACGGGCTCTTTCCATTGTGTCCCAAGTAGCGAGGCCTGTCCGTTCGCCATTGAACAGTCGGTACTTGCCGGACGACATCTGGTGACCAAACACACCCCCTGCCGTCAAGCAACGATGGCAGGCGACGTGCCGAACGATGGCGGCGTAGAGTGGCATCGCAGGGCGTCTACCATCTACCTTAGGTACCTAGGTAGGTAGGTAGGTAAGCATGGACTGGTAGAGGTAGCGGGCGCTGGATATGAATGGAAAGGGTCGGTGTGAAACGAATGCGCCGCGAGCCCAATATCGGCTCTCTCTACATCAATGCCGAGCAAAACGTAAAGCTGCAAGAGTAGCTTTTCACGCGTTGAGGTTAAGGCCCTTGGCGTGGAGTAATGTCTTGTTTCACCTTGATTCACCGCCACCAGAGTAAGTACCCCGCGCACGTTCCCTTGAACCTCTGGCTCCCGCTCCCGCTCCCGCACCAGAGAGCCAACCCGCTGAACCTGACCTGGCCTAAGCAGTTCTCGCAATCTGGTTGCTATTCCCAACGACGCCCGTCTTTTCTTCGCAAGAACCCGGTTACTCACAAAGTACCCGTACCAGCCGGTGCAATCTCCAACTCCGGCTTTCATTCGTCCGTCACCTCTGTGGAGGCACCGACCGCCGGGCCAGTAGAGGGGCAGCGACTCTTGAGAGCGAACGCAACCGCTGCCAGCATCTCACCAGCCATACTCAGCTGGGACTGCTGTGTTTGACCTGAGCCCTCGTATATCCTAGGTGAAGAAGCCTCGCCCTTTGAGACGTGGCCCCCCACCAACCGTCATCATGTCAATTTCTTCTACCTCGGAGACGTTGCCCGTGTGGCTCAACCCCGCATATTCGCGGCAAATTGTCAAGGGCAACCTCATGACCCTGAGTGCGAGACCAAAGACTGTCGAGCAGGGCGAGTGGATAGCACACCACGGTCAGTCGTCTGTGGAGCTCACTCAACGTATCCCCATTAACCTGTTCTTAGTCGTCGAGCACTATCGGAATCTGTGGAACTTCGTCCGTGTTATTCATGAGAAGGAGGAGGACGGCACCACTATTTGCAACGTCAACACCTGCCCCAAAATGTCGGCAGGGCCGTATGTTGAATGCCCCCTACCTCGGCTCCTACAAGGGCTGCCCAGTCATCACCAGCACTGACCTGCCTTCAGGAACCATTCTTACACCTGGCTCAACAACCGCTACCAGCCCGTTGAGCTCCCTGCACACGAGTACATGACCTTGATGCAGCGCTGGATCGGCGGCAAGATCAACGACACCAACCTCTTCCCTACCGATCCGAACGGCGTCTCGTACGCGCCCAACCCCTCTCTGACCAGCAGCTCCAGCACGTCCTCGCTGGCTGACCCTGCTTCGAACGCCGGCGCTCCTCCGGACGAGGACTGGGTCGGTCGCCGCAGCGGCTTCCCCAAGGAGTTCGCCGGCGTGTGTAGGACCATTTTCCTCCAAATGTTCCGTGTGTACGCGCATCTCTATCACAACCACTTCGTCGACCCGCTCTACCACCTCAACCTGGAGAAGCAGCTCAACAGCTGCTTCAGCCACTTTGTGCTGACGGCCACCGCCTTGGACCTGTTGAAGAAGGAAGATCTCGAGCCCATGCAGGGGCTCGTGGACCTGTGGGCGGCGAGCGGTACCTTTCCGCCCGAGAGCAAGGCCTACCAATATGCAAACCTCGAGAATGGAAACAGGATTTGGAAACTGGCGGCCTTTTGAGCATGTCGCCATCTCATCCAGAGATCGCCCAACGCGAGACCGGCTCGGCGGAAGACAAGCTTGATACGAAGGGAAATGGAAACCAACGGGCCAGAAGAGAAAGTGAGGCATGGATAGCCGGGCAGAACTCAACTTGAGTCGGAATAATCAACAGCAGTGGGCTGCTGTCCTGCAGACCTCAAAGATCATAAGCAAGCAGCAAGCGAAGTGATTATCTCAAACTGAGAGAGATCTGGTAATGAAAGGAAACACGCCGTTGACCAAACATTCCTGTTGATACGGTACACGGCACAATTTTCAAGAAAAGTCTTGATGAAACCGTACACCCCCTGCTACCCATCCCTGCAGGTCCTATTGACAAAACACTGAGCCTCACCCAGCATGTCGACGAGGAGTGAAGTGATGGGATGCAAAAAGAGTCGGGCGAACCCGACGTGACCACAGATTCCGAACCAGGGAATCGAACCCTGAGCCTGACGGTGAGAGCGTCAAATGTTAGCCATTACACCAGTTCGGATGTTGTTGAAATCACTCAAAATCTAGGCATCTAGATAGACATCTTGTTGAAAATTTTTGTTTGTTACCTCTCCGAGATACACTCGGATAAGTACATGACCCAAATAGCGCCCTGTTTGCTGCATGACGACTCATGTCTCGGAACGAAGCACTGTAACCATACCTTGCTAGACGAATCGTCTCGCGTCCTGCAAGGAACAAACTCAAATGCAGTATTGGCAGACTGCCTGTCAACGTGACAAGTCTGACCGTTCCGCTGGACTCCGCCGGGCCATGTCGCGCACTGACCAGTGCCGTCGCTTGTCGCTGATACTGGCGTCCCAGCTTCTCGACTCAGCGGTGCGACAATGGCCTTCAGCTGACTCCTCGGCACGGCATCTCCTTATCAGCAGCCACCGAAAAGCCCATCGTTCGTCATAGACCTTGCCGACGGCCGTCTTCGAGTCTCATTTTATTTCCTTGACGGTCAGCCCGTTGATGAGACCGGGGGGACCACCAATAGACACGAACCAGGGGGGGGGGCGTTGTCTGCGCGCGCTGTGGGCGATCTGCCGCCCACCACGCATCATCGCCAATCCGGAACCCCAACGGTCAGCGAAAGCTGGGTCGATATTTCGGAGGATTGACAGGCGGGGGGGAATGACCAGGGCCAGGCCCCCCCTCCCCCCTCCCCCCTCCCTATACGGGAGAAAGCTGCAAACGAAACAAACCGATCAACGACATCCACCGTTGCATCGACTGTCGGTGATCGATAAATCCCTTTGCAGGCTGAGCAGTATCCAACAAAAATAAAAACAAGCAATACCACCGTGGGGTGGCTGGTGGACACAACCCTTTCTGCAGCAGCGGCCCCCGTGGTCTGTCTCCTGCAGAGAGATGCAGGCAGACGCGACACATCGACTGACGAACGGCACATGCGCAACCTGCCTACGGTAACTCCCTGCAGTAACGTGGCATCGTACGAATGTCATCTCGCCGACATGCACCATCGCCACACGCGGTCGGCACACTGCAGGAACACATTGCTCTCTCCACGAGCACGACGTACGTTTTGGTCCCTAAGCTTGTCTCGTCTGACTCCAACCGAGGCCCAGCTCCATTCCATAGCGGCCCTCCCATCACCTTATGGCCCAGGGCCAAGGCTCAGCAACCCCCCAGGATGCATCGCTTCCGCAAAAGCAACAGTCCCAAGCACTAACGAGGATCCGGCACATGATTGGGGAGCCGCTCCTGTCTTCGTCGTCGCGCTACCTCTCTAGCTTCAGCCGCTACATCTGAGACCGGAAGAAAAAGAAATTGGTACTGGCAAATAGGCTTGGCCCCTCAGCTGGCGCGCTCCCTTGTTCTGGCTGTTCTGGCTGCTGTTGGTGGTCCCCTGGTCGTTTTTCGGCCTGCTCGCTCTGCTCCGATCTCTCCAAGCCTCCTGGATCATGTTTGTGCCGTCTCAAGCATCTGACTGGCTCGACGCATCCGCCACCTGTCGCACTGACTTGCTTCTTTGCATCGCTCAACAGGGACAATCCTGGACTGCGGTTTCTTTACAGCACTATGGAGTGGCCTTGGTCGATTCCAACGCCCTGTCGACCATCGGCCGATAGCCGATAGCCCTAATTTTCCAATATGCGCAGAGACCAACGCATAGAGAGACGCAGGGACGACGGGGCGACATCCAACATGACGCCTTGCGCGCGTTTGGCTCAGAACGAGCAGAAGGAGGGACGGCCCAGTCATCGGCCAGCTGAGGTAGCATACGAAGGATGTCTGGTTTCTTTGTCCCGCCCTCCACCCTCGCACGGCCGCCTTACACGGCATGGTCTCTGTTTAGCCTCTGGTCCTGAATCGTCTGCCGTCCACCTGCCCCCCCTCAACATGTCTGGTCTCCCACCACTACCTGTCGTCGAAACGTGGCAGTGGAGGTCTGTTCCTGCCTGAGCACCAAGAAAGAAACAGGAACCAGACGTCGCTTACCGTGGAGAAGCTCGACTCGGGGTCCGCACACACGATCTAGCCCGCTCCCCTATGTCTGGCTTGCTCCGTATTGGTCGATGATGTGCGAGAGCGCACGTTCAATTCGAATGCTTGTGCCAGCCAGAAGCATTTCACCTTGCAAGGTTATCTTGGTCGTCGCCTCGCCCACTTTCCTGCAAACGGCAGGCGAGCGTCGGTCGGCGGACAAAGAACCCGGCTTGCAGATTTCCTCCCGTGGAGCCTGTCATGACTGCGCAGTCAATCCTTTCTTTCTCAGGAACGGGATGCATTGCTTGTGCCGCACAGTTCCCTCCTACCCCTTCATGACCGCATGCCAACCCTCTCCCGTACGCATTTGATACGCCTTGACTTGCATGGCAAGCGGGTGACAAAAATAACAGGACTCCATTAATCCCGCACCCTACCTACCTACCTACTACAACACCATTTTCACTATGCATCAGCACCATAATACCCCTAAAAAATCTAAGATTATAGGCGTAGCTGATTTCCTGGATTCTCAAAAAATCCCCTATATTAAACAACGTCTTTTTGACCACGTTAGCGTCTCTAAGAGCCGAGGGTAGCAGATCCTGCGCGAGCAACGCGACCGACGCCATCTCGATAAGCAACAGGAGACTCGCGGCCGCCCCCGTCTCCTTACACAAGGAGACCTACAGAAGATAGAAGCCTTTATCTAGGAGGCTGGCTTTAAGGCTCGCGCCCTAAGATGGGAGACTATAGCTTACGAGGCTGGAGTCTTCGTAGACTACTCCCCGAGAACTATCCAGAGGTCTCTCGGGACCCTCGGGTATAGGAAGTATATTACCTGCGACAAGCAATAGGTATCTTCAGCAATTACCCAACGACGACTCAAGCTACAGAGAAAGCCCTCGCCTTACGCCCTACTCCAGAGAGCTAGAGAGATATCCGTTAGAGCGACGAAGTCCATTTCAGCCTTAGCTACGAGAAGAAGGCCTGGATTATCCGAAAACCAGGCGAGCGCTATTGCCCTGATTGTATCCAGGAACGCCTACAGCCCCAGGAGAAGCACAAGAAGAAACTCCATGCCTGGGCAGCAATTGGGTATAACTTCGTGTCAGAACTCGTATTCTACGAGGTCCCAGGCAATACCAATGGGAAGATGAGCCAGCAGGTCTATCGTGACCAAGTGCTTGAAGGCCAGGTTAAGCCCTGGCTAGAGGAGGGCCAGTCCTTTATTCTAGAGGAAGATGGAGATTCTGGCCACGGCCCTGGGAGTTCCAATATCTGTAGGTCTTGGAAAGAAGCTCATGGATTACGCTATTTCTTTAATACCCCAGGGTCTCCAGACCTCTCGCCTATAGAGAATGCCTGGAGAATTCCAAAGCAGAATATCCAACGCTATGCTGTATGGGATATAGAGCAGCTTAAAGCCTTAGCTATAGAGGCCTGGGAAGAACTCCGAGTAAATCCAGAACGCGTTAATTGCTGGATTGACTCTATGCCTCAGAGGATGCGAGATGTAATTAGAATGGAAGGCCGATTAACGGGTTGGTAGGTAGGTAGGTAGGGTGCGGGATTAATGGAGTCCTGTTATTTTTGTCACCCGCTTGCATGGCTTGTGACGATTTGCTGCCTCTCTCTGGTCTTAGGAACGATTCTTCTTTTTCGTTGTGGAAATCAACCCCCGTGCCACGGGACTTTTGCCTTCGAGTCCATGACGACCTCCTCAGCCTTAAATCACACCTGTACTAGTCCTCACCAGGATCGCTACTGTACCGATCTGTACAACGCAAGAGCCGGAGTCTACTTCCTACAGAGACACGGCACCGGGTCCCCTAGCCCCTCGTACTC